GACAGCTGGGGCTACAGGGAGACCCTGTCTCAAAAAGACCGGAAAAAAAAAAAGTAAAGAGTCTTACACTATCTTGAACAGGTTAGTGTTGCTGCTGCTGGTATTGTGATTGGCATGAATCAGATGCCCTACTACCAGCTGTGTGGTGGTGGTGGTCCTGCTGGTGTTTTTGTACTTTCTGTGCATTGTATAGAGATCTTGCAGGATTGGAGCAGCTTCAGCACCCTCTTAGAACCTCTGGGAGCTTTCAGAAACACTGCTTGCCTGAGTGGTAGGATAGCACGCATGGTGTAAACTTGGTGAGCTGTCAGGAATCCTATAAGGATGGGGACAGTATTTTTGGACTTTCAGTTCCTCCTTTGTAAATTTTCATATCTATAATATATTTGCCTTTTTTTTCCCCTACTATACATTTAATGTTTATCCCAAACTTCCTTAATTAGAGAGATTAGAAATCCCAGGACCTTTCTTTTGTTCTGCAGCCTACTTTGCCCTGTCACCAGTCTTACCTTTTGTTATTTCTCTTGACTGGAAGATGAGTAAGATAAAGGCTTTGGTTTAAGTTTGACCCTCTAGCATCATTTTTGAAATGTATGCATATAGAGTGTACTGGCATTCAAGTCAGTAAGTACACATTGCTTCTTTCTTTTTCTGGTCTTTTTGAGATAGTTTCCCTGTAGCCCCAGCTGACCTGGAACTTGCTATGTAGACCAGGTTGGGCTCAAACTCATAGAGATCCACCTGCCTCTGCATCCCAAGTGCTGGGATTAAAGGCATGCGCCACCAGCCTACCACACATTGCTTCTTAATGAGGACTCCTCTGTCAAGGACAGTGGGAAGACACAAATACAGAGTATGATGTGATTCACTGTTTCCCAAAAAGTTTGGCAAGATTGGATCCTCTTAGGCTATAATCAGATTGTTTCTTGATTCTGTTGCCTGAGGAGGGCCTGAAACGTCTTTGTAAAAAGCATCTTGTGTAAGTTCTCTAGTCTTACTGTTCAGTGGGCCTCCTATCTGTAGATTCAACCAAAAATGTTACATTGTTGATATATGCTGTTCTACAGTTAGGCCAGAGGTGAGTGTTTGTTCTGAATGGGTATGAATGTTTTTTTTTTTTTTTCTTATCACTCTTCCCTAAACAGTGTGGTATAACAACTATTTATGTAGTATTTGAATTGTATTAGCTAATTATAAGTAACTTAGAGACAATTTGAAGTATATTTAAGGATATGCATAGGTAATGGACAAATATGTCATTTTATAACATTTTTGTGTGTATGATGTATATTTGAGTGTGGGTTTGTGCATACCACACTATCAATGTGGAAGTCACTTGTGGGAATCAGTTCTCTCCTTCCACCATGTGGGTTCTGGGAATTGAACCCAGGTCGTCAGGCTTGGTGGGAAGGGCCTTGTCAAGTTGATGTCATTTTATAAAAGTTTGAGGGCTGTTGAGATGGCTCAAAGAGTAAAAGCTGCTGCCAAGTTTAAGAACTTGAGTTCAATTTCTGGGATGCACATAGTAGGAGAACTGACTCCTACTGATGTCTTCAGACCTTCATGCATGTGCCACAGTGCACAGGCACATGTGCATGTGTGCATGCAAGCATACACACACTACAATAAAGGAAAAAAAATTTTTTTTTGGTCTTTTTGAGACAGGGTCTCCCTGTAGCCCCAGCTGTCCTGGAACTCACTATGTAGACCAGGCTGGCCTTGAATTCACAGAGATCTGCCTGCCTCTGCCTCCTGAGTGCTGGGATTAAAGGCATGTGCCACCACGCCTGATTTAAAGGAAATTTTTAAAGGAACTTGAACATGTATTTTTGGTACTCATTGGGAAGAGGGGGATCTTGTAACCAGTCCCCTGGGGATTCCTAGGATGCCTGCTTTGTAACTCAGGAACCAGGATTTGCCTGGAGTTGCTTAGTCAGTTAGTATTGACCTTTGTTGAGTGAGGCTGCTGCTTCTGCAGATTGGTGCGTTCCTCTTGTTGGATACTTGTTAGAAAGAATAGGCTGGAATAAATTTCATTTCTTTTGTAGCATTTTAGAAAATTAGGGGTCAGCAAGATGCCTTAGAGGGTAAAGGCACTTGCTGCCAAACCTGGTGACCTGAGTTTGATGACCTGGAACCCACGTGGTAGGAGAAAACTGAGTCCCTCAAGTTGTCCTCTGAATCTCCGAATCTCCACATATATACTGTGGCTTGCACATGCCTGCACACACACCCAGACATACATAAATGTAAAAATGAGCGGGCTGATAAAGCAAAGAATGTGATGAGTTAGTCATGGTGGCTCTTGCCTGTTGATCCTTAAGGCTCTAAAACAGGAGGATTGCTGTGAGTTCCAGCTAGCCTAGACTACATGTGACCCTGTCTCAAGTTTTGTTTTTTTTTTTTTTTTGGTTTTTGAGAAAGGGTCTCCCCTGTAGCCCCAGCTAGCCTAAACTCGATAAGTAGACCAGGCCAGTTTTAGTATCAGAGAGATCCCCCTGCCTCTCAACCTCCCATGTGCTGGGATCAAAGGAATGTGGCACCACTCCCAGTCTGATTTTTTTAATTAAAAGTCAAAAACACAAGAGTAGTGCTGGGTGTGGTGGTGCACGCCTTTAGTCCCAGCACTTGGGAGGCACAGGCAGGCAGATCTTTGAGTTCAAGGCCAGCCTGGTCTACATAGTTCCAGGTCAGCTGGGCTACAAGGAGACCGTCTCAAAAAGACCAAAAAAAAACTCAAATTAGGGGTGGGCGTTGTGGTGTATGCCTTTAGTCCCAGCACTTGGCAGACAGAGGCAAGCTGATCTCTGTGAGTTCATTGCCAGCCTGGTCTACTTAGTGAGCTCCAGGCCAGCTGGGGCTACAGGGAGACCCTCTCTCGGAAAAAAAAAAAAAAATCAAATTAGGATACTTGATATTTCCTCCTCTTTAAAACATTGTTTGGTGATAATGTTTGTTCCTGGTATCCCTTGTTCCTCCCTCACTTCCTCCTTTCTTTCTAGACAAGGTCTCACTATTGTAGTACTGGCTGGCCTGGAACTATGTAGACCAGACTGGTCTCAAACTCACAGAGATCCACCTATCTCTGCCTCCTGGGTGCTGAAATTAAAGCCATGCACCACCATATCTGGCCCTGTTTATTACTGTATATGTGTGTATGCATGCAGGTCAGAGAACAACTTTAAACAGTCGGTTCTCTCCTTCCACCTTTATGTGGGCTTCAGGGATCAGATTCAGGTTCCCAGGCTTGTGTGGCAAATGCCTTCACCTGCCGAGCCATCTTGCTCAGCACCACCATTCTTCTTTTGTTTTTCATATTTTTGAGACAGGGTCTTACCATGTAGCCCTGGCTGGCCTGGAATGCACTATGTAGTCAGGCTGACCTTGAACTCAGAGATCCTCTGTCTCCCAAGTGCTGGAATTAAAGATCTGTGCTACCATACCTGGCCCCACCACCATTCTTAATGTTGTTGGATTTTATTTTCCCTTGGTATGAGGAATCAAACCCAGGGCTTCATATATGCCAGATAGGTGCTAAGCCACCCCACCAGTCTCATGTTCTCTCCTTACTGCTTTCTGTGAGGTTAGGTCTTTCCTGTGTAAGATTTGGGGAAGGTACTCTCAACCAATACCACTGGTGAAGCCTTTCCAAGAGAGCCAATCAGATTGTGAAAATCATTGGTGGGCTACCTGGATTCTGTACTGATGTATGATTAATTTTTTTGCTTTATTAAGTTTCTTTTTTTTTTAACATTTTTAGTATTTAAAAAAGATCTTTGTATGAATCCATGTGAGTGTATGCACACACATGTGTACCAATACCCACAGAGGCCAGAAGAGGGCATTGGATCTCATAGAGCTAGAGTTACAGGTGTTTGTGAGCCGCTAGATGTGAGTGCTGGGATATGAACTCAGGAGCCCAGACCCTAGAACTCTTCTTTTTAAAAACTGGTGATTTAGGGCTGAAAAGATAGCTCACTGGTTAAGAAGACTTGTTGCTCTTCCAGCATCCCCAAGTTCAGTTCCAACACCCACATCAGGCAGCTCACAACTACCTATAACTCCAGCTCCAGGGGATCTGACTCCTTACTCTGGCCTCTGCAGGCACCCCCCCCCACACACACACAAAACGTACACACATATATACCAAATTATAAATAAAATCTTTAAAACAAATTCTAAAACTGGTAATTTCTCAGTTCCCAGTACTCACGTGCATGTTCTTTGACCTTGGTGGGATTTACCTGTGTGGCATTATCCTCAGTAACCTAGTGTAGGCCAGGTGTGGTGTGTGTGCCTGTAATCCTTGCTATTCAGGAAGCTGAGGCAGGTTGATGGCTAGTTTGAGGCCAGCCTGGGCTACTTAGTTGGTTCTGGTTCCTGCCTACTTAAAACCTAGTCTAAAACCTTTTCAAGCTGCATAGAATTACAGCTGCATAGATATTGATTGGAAATCTTGAAATTTTGATTTCAAGGAAGATGGATTTAAGGAATGAAGGAAAGGGAGAACAGTGAAAGAAACCATGGCGTTTTCAGGCCAGTGAGTGATTTGCATTGTGTGGCCTTAGGCACACACGTCCCCTTTCCCTTCATGACCTCATTTTATTTCTTCAGCAAAGGAAAGTAATACCAGTTCTGGTTTTTTGGAGCTTGGCAAATTATGCTGCATCTCAATTAGATTTATTTAAATTTTGTCATAGTATCAACTAAAATCGTGTGTTTGGTGGGCTCTAGGGCTTGGTGACTGTGTCTTTTTTTAGACAAAGTCTCAATGTGTAATCCTCACTGGCCTCAAACTCCCTACCCTCTGGCCTCAGCCTCCTGAGTGCTGAGATATGACAGACCTGTGCCACCTTGCCTGGTCCAGACATTGAGGTCTGATGGCTAATTTTAAGCTGTGTGACATGTGCCGGAGACCAGAATTCCCATCATTACTCTGCTCCATTATTAAAATTCTGCAGTTATTCCTGGGTGTGATGTGATCTTTTCTCTTTGTTCAGGTAGAATGGAAGAATCTCACTTCAATTCTAACCCATACTTCTGGCCTTCTATACCCACAGTCTCAGGGCAGGTAAGTGGTGCTTGCTTTTTTGTTCTCCTCAATCATTTACTTTAACTGAGTAGCCAGTTCTTTATGAAGTTGTTCTATTGTATGGAGGCTGAAGCAAAATAAACCACATACTGTTTCACTGAGTCCCGTACTACTGAGAATTGCATAGTGTTGGGGTCTGGAAATGCAAAGATATCAACTATTGTTTCTTGATCTCCTAGGAGAAGACATTGAAAAGTGCTTAGGGAGCAGATAAATATCAGGCTTTCTCAGCCTTAAGAGAGTATTCCTCTTCCCCTTCCTTTTCTTTTAGATTGAAAACACAATGTTCATCAACAAGATGAAGGATCAGCTGTTGCCAGAGAAGGGCTGTGGACTGGCACCACCTCACTACCCCACTTTACTGACCGTGCCTGCCTCAGTGTCCCTGCCCTCTGGTATCAGCATGGACACAGAGTCCAAGTCAGAACAGCTGACCCCACACAGCCAGGCATCTGTTACCCAGAATATCACAGTAGTCCCTGTGCCATCTACAGGACTGATGACTGCAGGTAAGCACCTCTGCTCCTGTTTAATCTGAGGTGCTGATCTCCCATGATCAGCATCCCAGTCTGGAGGGCTCTGAGGACATGGGGAGTGGGGTATATGTTTAATTCCTCAATCAGATTTTTATTAAGTGCCTACTGTGTGCCTAGCAATGTGCTAGGCATTGTGGGGGATACAAAGAAGTAGAAGATGCGGTCCCTGCCTTTGAGGAGGTGACATTCTTTCCTTCTCTGAATCAAGGAGTCTCCTGTTCTCAGAGGTGGAGAAGAGAAGGGAGTCAATCAAGGGGTAAATCTCACTGTTACCAGGGGGGTGGGGACAGGGGTTAGGAGACCATTATTTTCTATAGGGTTTGGGGTTTCCTGTAACTTTGGGAGGTGGGGTGGAGGGTGGTGGTAAGGGGTTAATGAGACTTCTGGGGGAAATAGAAGGAAATAGGATTCGGGTTAGGAATGAGCAACATCATCCCATCTCTTTTTTCTCCCAATCCTAGGTCCTGGTTTGGTAATCACATCCCCCTCAGGCTCTCTTGTGACCACAGCCTCATCAGCTCAGACCTTCCCTATTTCGGCTCCCATGATTGTCTCAGCTCTCCCCCCTGGCTCACAAGCCCTACAGGTGGTCCCTGACCTCTCCAAGAAGGTAGCATCAACCCTAACTGAGGAAGGAGGCGGAGGTGGAGGTGGTGGCGGTAGTGTGGCTCCTCCTAAGCCTCCTCGGGGCCGCAAGAAGAAGCGGATGCTGGAATCAGGGCTTCCCGAGATGAGTGACCCTTACGTCCTTGCCCCTGAGGATGACCACGACCATCAGAAAGATGGCAAAACTTACAGGTAGGAATCAAATCCGGGACAGGATGGATTGAGGGTCACTGTCTCAGTTTCCCCTATCTTCTTTGGGTCCTATCCCAGTCAGGCTCTGTGCTCTCAACAGCTTCCCACTGCAGAGCCACTTGCATGTCCAGGAATCCTGCTGTGAGATAGGAAGGTTGAGCTGTTGTCACTTCCTTAATTGCTCTTCCCCCAGAGTGCAGTCCTCCCCCCTTAACTCCAGTTCAGGTGTCATAGTCCTTAACTGATTTTTGAGTGACATGAGTGACAGGATTCGCTCTTACAATAAGGCTTCAGACTGAGTTCCAGACTCAGTCCGCAGCTGTTTTGCTTTCTGTTTCTTATTTTTCCAAGAAATCTTTCTGGTAAGCACTTAACCTAACCTGTGTGCCATCCACCAGCTCTTGGGTGGTGTTTGAGCACTGAGCCCTTCAGCCCCTGCATGGCTGGGATGGGATAAAATGGTCGGAGGAATAGTATACCTTTGAAGTGACTATTTGCTCACTTTCTAATTCATGGAAGTCATTTTGATCCTCCACTTTCTCTAAGTTGTCCATTGCAAAACAGTATTATGTGCATATTTGCATGTGATACTGTATTTAAAAAATTACATTAAAGCCGGGTGTGGTGGCGCACGCCTTTAATCCCAGCACTCGGGAGGCAGAAGCAGGTGGATCTCTGTGAGTTCAAGGCCAGCCTGGTCTACATAGTGAGTTCCAGGACAGCTGGGGCTACAGGGAGACCCTGTCTCAAAAAGACCAAAAACAAAAAAATTACATTTAAAAAAATCTTCTTGCCCTTTGAAAGTTGAAATAACTTTATAATCTCCTTGAGAGCTATCAGGGTCCCTAGTGGGTTTGGGGCATTTGGTCCCACTGTTCAGAATGGGTTAACTATTATCACAGTTTTGATATAGACAGGGGCAGATTTGCATGGCTGGGAGACTGGTTCTGTCCTTAGTGTACCGAGATGGGCAATGTTGTTCCCATTTTAGGAGCGAAGGGAACTGCGGCACAGGAAATGGACAGAGCCTTGGGCTCATGGATTCAGTTCCCGGCTCCACCACGAACTTGCTGTGTGACCCTGGGCAAGTCCTTTTCCCCTCTCTGCGCCTCAGTTTCCTCATCTGTAAAATGGGGAGAATTCTGTGTATGCCTCCCATTTGTTGGGAGTATATATCAGATAAGCTTTAAAATGTTGGGAACTTCAGAAAGTTAAGAGCTACTCATTACTTAGCATTTATTTTTACTTGCATTGTATAGTTTACTGTGGAGAGTAGCCACAAGTACACTGTTCAAATACCTCTTAATACATGAAAAAGAGGGCAATGTTGCTATGCAGAATATATTGAGCACTGCAGAATCCAGCTATAATCCAGAAGTTCATTGTAGCTTTATTATTACAGGTGTACCCCACTTTATACAATAAGTGTTCCTGGAAAATGTTTACATCATACCATATTATAAAGGTACCTGACAAGTTTGATTCATTTAAAGGCATTCTTTTTATTATATCAGTTACAATGAAAATCCCTTTTTATTGTGTAGATAACCTGGATTTTTATGTATTTGCTTAAAGTGAGGTCACTGTGACATGGAGATGCATTTATATAATGTGTTGTAGGAATACCGGGAAGATTCTGTAGCACCCTGTGGAGGGAGCCCTTCTGCTTGACCAGAATCCTCTGATTCTGCCAAGTTAATTTTTTTCCCTTCTCACATTAAAATTATCTCTGGATTTCCCAACTGTGTATGGATATATGTATGTATCGCAGAGAATTTTGGATATACAGTTGGATGAAAACCTGCTAGGACTTTGTACCTACTCAAGAGTTTTTGGCATTCTTAGAAGACCCCACACTCATGATTAAAAAGAACTCTGTAACTGAAAGGTGACTAATTATAGTCTTCGTTGAAAAGAATTTCTTCAGAAACTTAAAATTCTAGAGTCCAAAGGGATCTTCTAAATCACAAAGAATCCTGACTTTGTTACTGTGTTTTTGAACTAAAAAAAAAAACAATCCTGATTTTGATGGACATGTGCTTCAACTACTTCCATTCCAGCTGTCAGTACATTTGACTGGGTATTGGAGGAATTAGGGTCTATTATTTGGGGTAAGTCAGCTTATCTGCTTGTTCCCACCTACGAAATGGGAAGATCAGCCAGACCCTTATCTATTGTATGGAAAGAGCTTTTGAAATGGTCCTGGATCTTAGAAAAAACTGGGATAATTCAGAGTGATCATTTAAACCAGGGACACTGCATTGCAAGCCTCCAAGGTGACTGTACTGTATTGGATGTGCACAGTGTCCCCTGGAGTAATGCACGGTGATACAGGATGTCAGCTTTTCTTTCCCTTGCTAGCTGCCCATTGCCACAGCTCTCACAGGTTTCTTCCAGCCACCTAACATCCTAAATTAGAGGACTTTTTTGCTTAGCTTCCTAAGACTTCAGAGTTAGAAATACAAGTTGAGTATTCCATATCAAAGATCCTTGGGACCAAAGGTGGTTGAGACTTTGGATTTTTTTTTTTCCACATTTTGGAATACTTGCATTATATAATGAGATACTTTGGGGATGGACCCAAGTCTAAAAATGAAATTCATTTATGAAGCTGGATGTGGTAGCACATACCAGTAATCTCAGCACTCAGAAGGTTGTAGTAGGAGGATCAGGAATTCAGTGCTAGCCTAGGCTACATAACCTCTCTTAAATAAAATAAAAAAGAGACCATCTCTATGGAGCCACCATGAGGATCTGTTACTGTTATTAGGTCTGTTAGTCAGGATTCAGAAAGGTGTAAGTTTTCCTTTTTCTTTTCTGATTTTTTTCTGGATACTGGCCTAAGCTGGGTGTGCTTTCTGTAACACTTTGGGCTTCCTCACTCTCTCTAAAGCTTTCCCCTAGCCATGTGTCTGCTAGTCTGCCCTGTGGCTGTCTGCCTGCTGAACCTCCATGCCTAACAAAAAAAGGCACGAGTTTCTTTGGAGTTTCTTTCTTCCTATTCTCCATTGCCTTCCTCCTGGCAGCTGCCGAGATTTACAGCTTGCCTGCCCTGTGATTTTTTTTTTTCAACTCTAATAAAATTGTCCTCAAGCTTTAAAAAGAAAAAAAAAATATCATTTATGCTTCAAATATTATATACACAGTCTAAAGGTATTTTTAAACATTATTTTTGGTGAGCCTGCATTGTAACTTCCATTTGTCCCATGAAGTCATGTGTAGAATTTTCTGCTGAAAGTATGATGTTAGTGCTTGGAAAGTTGGATTTTGGAGGATTGCGGATTTTAGATTTTTGGATCAGGGATGCACAGCCTGTACTTTATGGTCACCTAGGTCAGTGCTTTCACCTGGCTGGTGGTTCTTCAGCCTCTCCATAAGTGTTTCCACTGACAAGACTGTCGTATTAGGTTATCCTTATGGTAGGGAATAGCTCACCTGCTGACTAATCACTTGGTTTTGGAGCTTTTGTGTTCCTTTTTGTAGAACAGGGAGAATGTTTGCTAGATTAGTGAGGAGAAGCAGCAAAGGTGCTTGAAAGTGCCCAACCTCATTCCCGGGGTTACCCAAAGCAGTTCTCGTCATGGCCGTCATCCTCATCCTTGTCTCCCTCATCCTACCTTCCTACCTTTTGAGACTGCTTATTCTCTTCCAGTTCTTGTTTTAAGACAGGGTCTCCTGCAGCCCAGACTGGCCTTGAACTTGCTATGTACTAAAAATGACCTTGAACTCCTTATCGACCTGCCATCATACCCAGCTAGCCAGTTCATTTTTAGTTAAGTTCTTTAGCTTTGTTGGGGCTGGAGAGATGGCTCAGCGGTTAAGAACACTGACTGTTCTTGCAGAAGGCCTGGGTTCAAATCCCAGCACTCACCTGGCAGCTAACAACTATCTGTAACTCCAGTTCCAGGGGATCCGACGACCTCTTCTGACCTCCGTGGGCACTGCACGACATGGGTGCACTTACATACAGGCATAACACTCATACACATAAAATAAAAAGCTTTGTTGAAGAAGGTTCTTTTTTGGTTTCTTGACAGTCTCCCACTATTTACTATACTGGCCTTGAACCTCATATCAATCATTTCAAGTGCTAGGATAATTTTCCTTTTTTTTTTTTTTGTCTTTTTTGTCTTTTTGAGACAGGGTCTCCCTGTAGCCCCAGCTATCCTGGAACTCACTATGTAGACCAGGCTGGCCTCGAACTCACAAAGATCCGCCTGCCTCTGCTTCCCAAGTGCTGGGATTAAAGGTGTGCAGCACCACGAATTTTCATTTTTATAATTAACTTTCACTTCAAGGGTAGAGTTGTGTGTTGAATACTTTCACACACACACAAAGTAAGGAGATTTAAATTAAAATGAATGTGTTGGGGCTGAGGACACAGTTCAGTAGTAGAGCACTTGTCTGGTGTGTGGCAGTCCCTAGGTTCCAATTAGCAGCACTGTAAAAATATTTTTTAAATGAACATGTCCTACGTGAACTGAGAAATTTTAGCTACCAAAGGAACTTACTTTACAACTTTCGTACAGTTGTCTTCCACATGAATTGTGTCCAATTACTAACCTTAGTCTTAATGAAATACATGTAGTAATATATCAGCATCAACACTGAGGCTGTTAATATTGATGCCATTTCATTACTAGAGAACATTTAACTTACTTTTGATGATTCTGAGTGTTTGCAGGTACAAAAATTAATTTCTCTGTTTTAAAGAAAATCAAGATGTAGGTTAGTGGGTGATCTATAACTGAACTCTGTTGGAATAGAACCCAGGTCTCTAGATTGCTGTTGACCATTCACTTTGGACCATGCCACTCTCTTCTCTGGCAGAGTTGGGGCTTCTCAGGCAAGAGCCAGCGACTCAGGGAGTCAGGTTTCCTCCAATTGTAAAGTGACAGCAAATGAAGCCTGGCATCAGTTGTGAGAATTTCTGAAAGCATTAGTGTGGAGCCTATAGCAGTAAAACTTCTCTAGGAGGAAAGTTTGTGCTCTTTCTGGTCTTGATTCAGCTATTTTCTAAATAAATTCAAAATGAAGAAAAAGGCAGGACCCATCAGCCCACAGCATCCCATGTCTCTCTTACAGAGATGGGGAGAAGAGCAGCTTGCCCTGACTTCCAGGCCACTCCCCTTTCTGCTCACTCAGTGTGCACTGCTAAGCTATCTCTAGACTACATACAATTGGCTTTTACTCAGTAAAGTCTAAGGACTTACGGCTTAACTTATCAGAAACCTCCTTTTGATGTTGTTGAACAGTGACAGGGCAGGAAGAGTCACTGGTTCAGGAGACCTGTAAAGGTGTATTCAGGTGCTCTTGATGTCATTTAGGAGTGCTGACATTGGCTTTATGTGCTGAGAAAAAGGAGAGGTTTAGCATGGAACACTTTTTTATCAGCCTTTCTTGTAAACTTAAGGATTATCACCCACTCCTAACAATTACCCTGGCTTATTTCAAAAATGGTTCTCATTTGATTGGCTTGAGGCTGGGGGCAGGGACAGGTGGACAATTAATGGAACATCAATGACAGGGTAGAGACTAGAGATATGAGGTTTGGGAAAGCCCCTCCAAATAATTCTGGTACTTACCCACCTCCATCTCTTCAGCAGTCACTGCAAAAAGGAAGTATGGGGAAATCATTGAGAAGGCAGTCATTTGGAGACAGAAGAAAATCATATCTTGTCAGTTCTTCATTATTACATAGGGGGCTTGAAGAATACTAAGGAACAGATAAACATGGGGAAGTTGAGGAGCTCTTTAAATATTTGGAACAAATTATCTGCTCCAATAAAATCCATATTCACCTAGCCCATGATATTTTTCTGCCTTAACAGGGTTCAGTCCTTATTTCTGTACACTTAGGGAATCCAGTCATTCGGCAAACATTTATTAGGCATTTCTATGTGTTGTGCACCATGTTAGTAGCTTAGACTACAGAAAAAAAATAAGGGGCTGGCCATGATGGCAGATGCTTATAATCCCAGAACTTGGGAGGTGTAGACAGGAGGTTCATGAGTTCAAGACCAGCCTTGGCTACATAGTGAGTTCAAGACTAGCCTGGCATAAATGAGACCTTTTTTCAGGAAAAGAACATAAAGCAATAAGAAAAAGCTCCTACAAAATAGAGCCTTGCCATGTAGCTGGAATAGGAAAGTGGTCAGTTAGGTGGGCTTCTCTCTGCATGGTGGCGGGGCTCAGCAGCTCCTTCTGGAGGGAACGCTCTAATGTTGCCTTTGCTTGGCCAGGTGCCGGATGTGCTCACTGACCTTCTACTCAAAGTCGGAGATGCAGATCCACTCCAAATCACACACCGAGACCAAGCCCCACAAGTGCCCGCACTGCTCCAAGACCTTTGCCAACAGCTCCTACCTGGCCCAGCACATCCGTATCCACTCAGGGGCCAAGCCCTACAGTTGTAACTTTTGTGAGAAATCCTTCCGCCAGCTCTCCCATCTTCAGCAGCACACCCGGTAAGGCTGCTTTTACCCTACCTGACTGAGAGCCCGAAGGCCATGTTGCCTGCACCATGTTCTCGCCACATGTTTTCTTTTCCCCTTTCACCTGTGCCTTTTGAAATCTTTAATTCTCTCCTATTACTGTCTGAAAAATAAACTATATATCCTAGCAGTGTGGGGGGCCTTAAAATTTGTGATTTCCAGTCCCCAAGTCTGGAACAATTTTTGTGGTTTCTCTCTGTGTTTGGAAATCTTCTACAGAGCAGACCCTGCTTTTACTATATGCTTCACTTCAGAGCCATGGTGTGCATTCAACTTCAGGCCCATGGGGAACAGGCAGTATTGGTCTATATTCAAATTGCTATTTGGAAACAGGGTAACTGTGGTGAGTGTGTAACCTTAGGAAAAGACCGAGGTTGAGGAGACTGAGCACCTTAAGGTTATCAGGAGCTCTGGGCTGCAGCTCTTCATCATCTCACTGCCATTCTAGCCACCGACTTGCAATCAGCAACAACCTAGAGTGGGTGTCCTCGTCATTAGCCTCTCCAGCCGGAGCTTTATTGGGAGGAGGGAGGAGGGGGTGCTGTCATCCGTCAAGCAACATCATTTCACCCAGCAGAGAGCTGAGCCCGTGGTGTCGAACTGCTTCCTCCTCCCCCCTTCCCTCCTCTCCTCTTCGGCAGGATTCACTCCAAGATGCACACGGAGACCATCAAGCCCCACAAGTGCCCGCACTGCTCCAAGACCTTCGCCAACACCTCCTACCTGGCCCAGCACCTCCGCATCCACTCGGGGGCCAAGCCCTACAACTGTTCCTACTGCCAGAAGGCCTTCCGCCAGCTCTCCCACCTCCAGCAGCACACACGGTAAGGGAGAGGGGCGGGCCACTGATCCCGCCCCGCTGGCATGCCCTCCCCACCCCCCGCCCTGGACACACACAACAACCCGCATGCGGGGGGCGGGGGAGAGACCTGGCTGGAGGAGAGACCTGGCTGGAGGAGAATATGACTGGCAACAAAAAAAGACCAAGCAACACTGGAGACTCAAGTGGATGCTAAGAGAGCCTTTCTGGGAAAGAGCTGGGAAGACTGATGAGACAGGCACACCTGCGCAGAGACAGCTCTTGGCCTCATCTACCTCCCTGAAAACACTGAGCACACATCTTGGTACCAAAGCAGAGACTGGATTTTAGAAGGCCATACCTCTGACCCTCAGCACACCAAGTATGAATGGGAGATATAATCAGACATTAGCTGGCACCAGCCTGGAGACACAGCAACAAGCAAAGTTCCAAGGGATGCCAAGAATCGAGAACAAAATGAAACATGATTTAAGTATTCACAGAGAACTGGCAAACAAAATGGAAAGGTTCCTATTTTATAAGTAAGACATGACTGTCCATCCCATTGGTCTGGAGTTACAAGGCGGAAGGCAGCCTGCCAACAAAAGAGCTCATGGTCTCCTTTGTGGAGTCTCAAGTTGAACTGGAACCCTGGTGTGGCCACCATCCTGTTGCTGTGGGTATGACGCTCCCACCTGAAAGTGATCAGACGCTGCTTTGAGACGAGGAGCCGGCTGGCCTCATAAAGATATTTTGAGGCTTTAAAGCAGAGGTTCAGAAAGGCACTGATCACAGAGATGGTTCTGAAGTCCCTGATAAGAAAGTGTCACTGCACCCTCAAGTCTTGGGCTTTCTTCAACAACCCTGTGATGTTGGGGAAAGAGGTTAAATTGCTTCTAATGTCAGCATTTCCAGCTGTTGGGGAGTTGAACTGGGGAAAAACCCTTTCCAGGAATTTCCATTACTATCACTGCTACTTTCCCCAATCAGCCTAATTCTGCTTTTCTTTGATACCTGAACTATCTCTGGGTATGATACTCAAGGTTGAGGGGATGATTTCTGGCTGTGGGATGGGGACTGAGGCGGAAGTGTTCTGTTTTCTTTTTCCTTACAGTTGTGTTTACCTTTTGTTTCTAAACATTCACTGGGACAGTTACTGTAGGAATTGGATAAGTGTGCCAAATGGTGAACTGCCTGAGTCCTGGATGCCAAGTCTTCAAGCCCCTCTTCCCCTAGCACAATGGCGCACACTTTGAGCTAAGTGCTACAGGCAGTGACCAGAAAGCAGACCCTACAAACTATTCCAGGTCAGAGAGGAGCTAAGGCTAGTGCCTCCTGCAGATCCATCTGAGGAGCTTCCTTAGGAGGGAACCTGAAGAGCCTGGAGACGATCTGTTAAGGACCCAGTCCTCAAATCACCTTGCTGACATTCATACTCATTCTTTTCTTCTCACCCTGTGCAGAATCCACACTGGTGATAGACCGTACAAATGTGCACACCCAGGCTGTGAGAAGGCCTTCACACAACTCTCCAATCTGCAGGTAAGTCTTCTAGTTTCCACATAAGACCTGGAGTCTGAGAATTGGAAGTGCCATTTGACTAGTACTGTGGTTCTCAAAGGTTTTCAGAATGATTATACCCTCTTAAAATTACTGAGGTGAAGCTGTCCTGCTAGTGCTACTTGGAAGGCTGAGGTCTGGTGGTTCTAAATTTCAAGGCCAGCCTATGCTACAGAGGAAGTTCAGGCCAGCCTGGGTAACTTAATGATACTCTGGTCTCAAAACATAGACAAGCAAGTTGGGGAATTAGGTTAGTCAGTAAAGTCTCTGCCACACAAACACGAGGATCTGAGATCAATTCACAGAACCCACAGAAAAAAAACTGTTAGTCACTGGGCATGATGGGGTACACACCTTTAATCCCAGCTTTCAGGAGGCAAAGGCAGGTGGATCTCTTGTGAGTTTCAGGCCAGCCTGGTCTACATAGCAACTTTGAGACCAGCCAAGGCTACATTGTGAAACTCTGCCTCTACAACAGCAACAACAAAACAACTGGTAGTCCTAGCATGTGTTTGGAATTCTATCATTGGGATAGACAGCTTTCTGACCAGTTTGGCAAACCCCTACCCCAGGCCAATGAGAGACCCTATCTGAAAAGCAAGGTGGGTGACTCCTAAAGCATGACACTCAGTGCATGTATATATACATGTGTGTGTATACTGAACACACACATACCAATAAAAATTTTTTTAAGGGACTGGGGGAGAGGCAGGATATGGTAGTACACACCTTTAGTCCTAGCACTCGAGAGGCAGAGGCAAATGGAGCTCTGTGAGTTCAACACCAGCCTGGTCTACATAGTAAATTCCAAGCCAGCCAAGGTTACATAGTGAGACCCTGTCTCAGAAAAATGGAAAAAAGGGACTGGAGAGATGGCTCAACGGTTAAGAGCACTGGCTACTCTTGCAGAGGACCCAGGTTTAATTCCCAGCACCTACATGGCAGCTAACGACTCTCCATAACTCCACTTCCAGGGCATCTGATGCCCTCTTCTGACCTCTGCAGCATTGCACAACACAGATGCACTTACATAAATGCAGCCAATACACTAATAGAAATTTAAAAAATTATTTTTTTAAAAACTGAAAAAAACATAGGACTGTAGACCAGCAAGATGGCTCAGTGTGCAGAGGGACTTGCCACAAGCCTGACTACCCAAGTTCCATCCCTGGAACTCAAAGAGGAGAGAAACAACTACCAAAAGTTGTCCTTTGACCACTACATGTGTGCCATGGCATGTCCATGCCTGCACATAATGTGATTCTATAGCTTACTAATAGTGCTTGCTTACTGTATGCTAGGTCATAGATTCAATTCCTGGTCGTACTGCCAAAAATCTCAAACCCTAAGGCAGCCTGGGTATAGTGGCAAAATGCTTGAAACCAACCTTATCTGGACTATATAGTGAACCTTAGTTCAGTTCTTGGCACCCATATCAGGTGGCTCACAACTGCTTGTAACTCCAGCTCCAGGGGCTCTGACACATTTTTCTGGCTTCCCTGGGCACTTTACTCACACAGCCATACACATATACACATTCTTTTAAAAAATAAGCAAATTAAAAAAAAAAAAAATTAGGGTCTGGGAGATGGCTCAGCAGTTAAGAGCACATGGTCTTCCAGTGGATCTAAGTTCAGTTCCCAACACATGTAACTCCAGCACTGCACTCATGTACAACCCCCCACACACACACATAATCAAGTAATAATAATAGTAATAAAATCAAAACCTTTAAGGGGGCTGTAGAGATGGCTCAGTGATTAAGAACATTGGCTCCTTTTACAGAGGGACCTACAATGGCAGCTAACAAGTCTTGTAACTCCAGTTCCAGGGGATCCGATGCCCTCTTCTGACCTGCATGGGCATTGCATGCATGGGTGCACTAACATGAAGACAAAACACTTATACACATAAAATGAAAATAAAACAATTTTAAAATTGAGATCACATTTTTAAAAAATTTAAAGAGCTGTAGAGATGACTCAGTTGATAAAGTACACATCACACAAGTATGAACATTTGAGTTTGAGCCCCAATTCTCATAAAAATGCTGGGTGCAGCAGCACACACCTATAATCCCTCTGCTGGTGGGGCAAGGCAGGAACAGGAGTATTCCTGGGGTTCACTGGCCAGCTGGTTGACCCTAATGAGAAAGCTCCTAGGTTCAGTGAAAGAAAATAAGACAGGGTGCTAGGCTGGGTATGGTGGGGTATGCCTTTAATCCCAGCACTCGGGAGGCAGAGGCAGGCAAATCTCTGTGAGTTTGAGGCTAGTCTGATGTACATAGAGAGTTCCAGGCTGGCTGGGGCTATAGGCAGACCCTGTCTACCAAAAATAAAATAAAATAAAAAAGATGGGGGTGCTGGGAGATGGCTCAGTGGTTAAGAGCACTGTCTACTCTTCCAGAGGACCCAGGTTTGATTCCCAGCACTCACATGGTAACTAATATCCATTGCTCCAGTTCCAGGGTATGTCCAGTGTTCTTGTCTGATGTCCATGGGCATTGCATGCATGACATGCATGCACTTACATATATGTTGGTAATATATTCATACGTACAAAATTTAGAAAAATAAATATGATTTTTTTTTTTAAAAAAAAGAGGGCTGGCTCAGTGGTTAAGAGCATTGGCTGCTCTTGCAGAGTACCCAGGTTTGATTCCCAGCACCCATGTGGTGGCTTACAACTGTCCATAACTCCAATTCCAGGGGAATCTGACCCCTTCTTCTTACCTCCTCAGACATTGCAGGACACAGGTACATTTATATACATGCAGGCAATACACTCATATACATAAAATAAAAATAATAAAATATTCATAGAAAGAAGAAGGAGAATAGTCCCGGTCTATAAACCTAGTATTTAGAAGGTAGAGGCAGGAGGATCAAGAGTTCAAGGCCAGCCAGTGGAGTTTGACAGTAGCCTGGGCCACACAAGACCCTATCTTAACAAAAAAAGAAACCATAAATAATAGCATTGTATAAACCCTTCATAATTAGCACAGTTAGCATATAAGAACACAAAGATTTCTGAATCCTACAAAGGGAACTTAATTGAAGAATGGCATTTCACATTTTCAAGTTTCTCTTCTCTTTCTCCTCCCTTCTTCCCTCCCTCCTTTCTTTTTTATGGCCCATGCCAAGCAAGCACTCTACCACTGAGCTATGTGCCCAGCCCATAAGATTTAGTTTTACATACACGGCCATGCTGTATAGCTCAGGTGGGCATTGAACCAACCACCTTTCCTCCTTAGCCCCCTGAGTGCTGGGATTGTGTCCCACTACACCCAAGATTTTTGCAGATTTCTTCAATCTCTGGCTTAGCTAAAGGGGAACATAGACTCACATCTGATACATTCAGTGTATCATGATACCACACATCTTGTAACTTCTGTACAGTTATGAGATGATGAGTACAAAGACAGACGCTTGTCTCATTTAATGTATGCAGATTTGTGGTATGTGCTTTTGTGTGCGTATGGGTGCACTCAACCCTGCAAGCGTATGTTAAGGCCAAGGGTTGACATTGGGTCTCTTTATTGTTTTCCACTTAATTTTTGGTGGAAGTGTGTGTGTGTGTGTGTCTGTGTGTGTTGTTGTGTGAGATAAAGTCTTCTTTGTAGCCCCAAGCTGGCCTGGAACTCATTATGTAGACCAGGCTGATCTTTATCTCACAGAGAGCCGCCTGCCTCCACCTCCTGACTGCTGGGATTAAAGGCGTGCACCACCACGCCTGGCCCTTGTCTCATTTTTAAAAGAGTTTTGATTTTCTGAGCCCCTTGAAAGGGCCAGGTAGTTCCTAGAGATTCCCACATATCACTTTAAGAACCACTAAAAGTGGGAGACTGGGTGTAAGCCGTCTTTCTAACTTTTGGGATCCTGGTATATGGTGTATAAGGTACATTTCTTTCCATAGCCTCTAGCTCCTGAAGTTTAATTCCAAGCAGTTTCTCCTGCCTTCTTGTAGAAGGGGAGCTGGAAGTCTGATACCCTCCTCAGGGCTCTCCATAAAGCCAGGATAGAACAGTTCTCATTTTAGTCTCTGCTTTTTTCAGTCCCACAGACGGCAGCACAACAAAGATAAACCCTTCAAGTGCCACAATTGTCATCGAGCATACACAGATGCAGCCTCACTCGAGGCTCACTTATCTACACATACGGTGAAGCACGCCAAGGTGTATACCTGTACAATCTGCAGTCGGGCATATACATCGGTGAGTGCTTGGCACTTTTCCTTTTCTTTCCCCTCAGTCTCACCAGAATCAGTCTTCAGAAATAGAACCATACCTGAAGAATTTAGACATGCCCAACTGTAGCCTGCAAAGAGTGATACCTGGTGAGTCTTCATTTTAAACATAAGGCAAGCTAAAACCATTTATAATTTTGTGAGAAAACTTTCTTTTTGCCAGCTCAGTGTCCATGGTGATTTCAAACAGTTCCCCTCCTTTCTGCTCAGCAATGAGCCCTAAAACTATTACTTTGAGGTCTACCTATCCCTGACTCCAGAATGTCCCTACATAAATAGACTCAAGACAGAGTAAGAACCCAGGATGATAGTCGCAGTTCATCTTTTTCCCTCTCTTTCATCTCAACTTCTTTTTACCATCTCCTTCAGGAAACATACCTTATGAAACATATGCGCAAACACAACCCTCCTGATCTCCAGCAACAAGTACAGGCGGCGGCAGCGGCGGCGGCAGTGGCCCAGGCCCAGGCCCAGGCCCAGGCTCAAGCCCAGGCTCAGGCTCAGGCTCAGGCTCAGGCTCAGGCTCAGGCTCAGGCCCAGGCCCAGGCTCAGGCTCAGGCTCAGGCTTCCCAGGCATCGCAGCAGCAGCAACAGCAGCAGCAGCAGCCACCACCACAACCACCACACTTCCAATCCCCTGGGGCAACTCCCCAGAGTGGGGGTGGTGGGGACAGCAACCCCAACCCTCCACCCCAGTGTTCCTTTGACCTGACCCCCTATAAGACCGCGGAGCATCATAAGGACATCTGCCTCACTGTCACCACCAGCACCATCCAGGTGGAACACCTGGCCAGCTCTTAGAGATCCGTACTGTCATCCACTGGAAAAAGGAGAAAGAAGTTCTCATCCCTTCTTTGTCCAACTCCTTTTGGTGGGAAAGTCCTCTTCTTCCTTGACAAGCCTTGTATTCATCTCCTTGGGCCTCAGTCATGGCTTTCCTTGACAAGATACCATCCTTATTCTCAACTGTTCTTCAAAAGGAATATCAGCCCTCCTGATTGGCAAAGGAATCCTGAGCTGATAGTGTCATCTAACAGCCCCCTTCCAAGCAAAGCTTTTAAAATTGGGGGTTGGTGCTTAAGAGGAAGGATCTGCTATAACCTCACAAGATGTTGTCCAGTGTGGGCACTTACCCTTTTCTCTCCCTCCTCATTCTCAAAGTTGGGGCTGATAGAAGACTAGAGGATGGCCTTCCCAGATACCAGAGAAGGGAGTCCTAAATGCAACTGGCCTCCCATTCTATGCTTACCTGTAAAAGAACAGGTTTTGCACATGCCCCAGACCCTGTGAGCCATTTTCTTCCCAAATATATGATCACACTTAACTTCCTATCTACTACTACATAGGAGTAGTAGGATAGGAGATTTAGGTGGTGATTACACCTCTTTTATTTGTAAGGGGACCAGTGGCTAAGATATGGTCCCTAAGGTGCCAGAGATTTCCCAGGTGACCAAGGGTGGCTTATAAATGTGGGTTAGGATTTTTCCTTCCAGCCTCCCTCTGCCAACCAAGGCCCTACACTCTTCAGTCTCATCACCTCAGCCCAAGGAGCTTTGGGAGCTGTATTCTCTGTGAAACCCCAGAACAAGGGTGCTGCAGAGAAGGGAGAATTCAGGGCCCACAAAAGGACTGGACTTAGCTCCCTAGGTGCCACGGTCAGATGCCGGACATGGAT